TTTTAAACCCAGTGTTTGTTGTGTGTTAGTTTACTGGTTTCCTCGCCACAAGGCAATATTCTCAGTATTCAGAGTGTGGGCTATTCACCATACAGTTCATCTGAAAGGCAGCTAGCCTAGGGGCAAATGAAATTGACCAGCTGATGTCAACCACACTGTCCATGCAGAGTAAGATTAGCAGCATAAGACAGAGTTGCATATATTTACCCAGTAAAGCACAAAATACCTTTAATCTTTATGCACCATATGTTATTTTACTTTAAATTCTAATGCTAGAAGATTTTACTCATGGAACATTGGAAATTAATAGGGGAAGGTGGTTCATAAACAACATAATAACACTGTCTTCTGAGTCCAGCAATGCAACTATTGGAGCACACTGTATACACCTTTGTTACACAGTATGTGTGTATCTGCGTTGTCGTGATTTTCTGCCAATGGTTTTCAATGTCGTGATTTTCTGCCAATAGAAAAGTTAAGGCTACAAGAAGCACAGTACTGACTATTTTTTAATAGAGACTTATTGCCACTACTGCTATTACACTTGTACAAGCAAATTCTTTTTTCTTATGTGGAGAAATTATGTTTTTTTTGCGATATAGGTTCAAAGTTTTTTTACGTGTTTTTCCAAAAATGCAGCAAAATTTTTGTGACTCTGATATAGGAATTGCAACAAAAGAGTTCGCTCAGAACGCAGGAAATCGCATTTCCGAGGTCCTAGATTTCAAAATTTCTCGGGGAAGGATACCCCCGGACCCCCCTACAAATGCGAGGTCTTATGTATGCATCAGTCAGCTCAGGAGCTGGATCCGCCCCTGAACAGCAGACAGCGGAAGACTTCACAAGCTAATGCACTTTGCTTATAAGGTACATATTGTTGCAGAGAACGGCGTCTAACGAAGTGCATCAATTAATGATGATATAGTTCTAGCTTTGTCATCAATTATCTGTGGAGACACTTATATCGAACTGTATACTGGCCATTTTAGACGGGATTACTGTTGTCCTTGTCCATGGGGGAAGGGCTGCCCCTAAAATTTTTGTACACACCTAAAAATTAGCTCAGCTTGGTGCAAGAAATTAATGTTGAGATGTTGAATCCATGAGTACATGTGATTGTTTTTCTTGATTGTTGGTTTCTCCTACCAATTAAGTGCACATATACTTACTTTTACAACTTTTTCCACAGCCTTGAAAGCAGCGTCACTTAGACATGTTGCAATATTTGCATTACATTCCTGTTTGTCAGATTGACAAGATAACTCGATTTGACGAAAAGATGATACCTAAAATTGGATAAAAAATTGCATTTTGGTCTCCATCAGAGAATTGCACAAAAAGTAAAATAATCCGATGAAAAAGATTATTAGGAATAATTTACAATCATACACCACGCTTTATAATTTTGCCATTATTTTATGCAAGGCCATAGTAAACTGTAGGCCTAATTCTGAATATGATGCCTATATATGATGTATAAACTTTACACTCGAACATTCCATCAACTAAATCCTTCAACATTTATAGTTCAATCGAGTGAGATGAGCAAAATCCTGATATTCACCTAAATTGAGGGCATGCATTTCCTCCAAACTCACGTACTGTATTTTACATTTATTATAAGAACTGATATTAAGTATTTGCGCGACGGATTTACTGAACATCTGGTGACTAAAGCCGGTTTTCCACTAGGCGGAATTTTGCGCGCGGAGCGGAATTTCTCTTTGTCTTGTGATTTCTCGGGTGGAACTAATTAGAAAAGACAAAGAAAATTTCCGCTGCGCGCGCAAAATTGCGCCTAGTGGAAAACAGGCTTAACGCGGGTGCAATTACCTTACAGTATGATAGACAATTAATTGTTGAATGTTTGGCTGAATAAATGACTCAATAGCAGAAATTAGCGACAAAATGGCCACCTCTTGTATACAAATTTGCATACAATCCATGTACAATGGCTTTTGAATTTTAATAAGGAATATACAGGGTGTCCCAATAAACTGAGCCCTCTTTAGAAATCACTTTTGTGCGTTATTATATACCTCCAAAAATTTAATTTAATTGTACATGAACGGCGGAAGTATTTACAATTTCCCCTTCGTCCAAAAATTTAACTCGAAATTATGGCAACTGGGAGCTCAGCTACTGTTTGCCGACCTCCGGATCAACAAAGCAGTCATTTTTACTAATGTTTTGGTGGCATACTTAATTCAGGTCGGGTATCTCTCAACAAACAAGGCAACAAACGTCTACAACTATAAAATCATATATAAGAAATATGAAACTATTTTTAAAAAATTCATTAATAATTCATGAGGAAAATACAAAAGAAATGAATGTTTAATCAATGTTTGTAAATCGGATAAAGATTTGTCCTGATTTACATAAACTTCAGCTTTGATTTTCTCGGCTTAGACGATGTTTATTTTCAAAATTACTTCGCCAATGAACTCATAAGATGGGTCATTTTTTAAGTACGATAAAACATTCGCATCCGATCTGTAACTGATATACAAACTCTCGTCTTCGCCTCAAGTTTGTACATCAGATACAGATCGGTGCTCATGTTTTATCTAGTACTTAAAGAAATAAGATTATAACTCACTCAGTTAATGCAGCTTTCATTCCTTAAACTTCTAGACAGCTTGCAGAATGTCTTTGAGTGAGCCGCTGGCATAGTTTATTGCATAAGTAGCCTATAAACGTTTTTCCGTGCGAATCAATAACATTTGGAGTTCTCTCGTGAATTTGACCTCATGTTTTTAATATTAATGCCAAAATGGGAAAATAAAACTTTTCTTCCACTGTTGTCTCCATTTTTTATTGCAGGAATATGGTGTATAATGACGTTAAAATCTCAATAAAATACTGTTTTTCACCTGTGGAATATTTTCACACAGAAAATTGGAGAAAGAGGAGCCGTTTTCATAGCAGTCTTGTTTCTAGCTTTCGCTGTTTGGATAAAAAGTTTTTTTAAATACACATAAAAGTCATTATAAATTAAAATAAACTAGAAGAAAAAGGCTGTCAAAGCCGGCAGAATATGGCGTTCTAGCTGAGTTTGGTATTTCAGCAAGTAGACCAGCTTCGAGTATACTTAATCTGGGTGTAAAACACCAAGCATGCAATATTGCTCAAGATCTAGTCTTTTACATCAAGGTTCGTACTGTTAAGGAAGAGTTAAATTCAAGGACTTTCAAGGTCATGTATCAGGAAATTCAAGAACTAAAGACCTGAAAAGAAGGCGTTAGAAATCGGTAAAAAGTGACGTTAAACTGCTCAAACAGCAACTTAATGAATTTGAAACAGCTTGAATTGGCCTTTAATTAATTTGTACGACACGAACAAAATCAATTTACAATATGCCCAATTTTTAATTTTTTCAATTTCAGACATAAAGGCTTTTGTTGATGACGATTTGGCAGCTGGGAGAAATACCCAACCTGAATAAATATGTCACCACCAAATTATTAGTAAATGCTTGCTTTATTGATCACGAGGTCGGCAAACAGTAGCCGACTTCTCAGATTGCCATAATTTCCACCCCATATACTCGCTGTTAAAAATTGAAAGCTCTGTATATGGATTACATGCAAATTAGTATACAAGCGGTGACCATTTTGTCACTAATTTCTGGCAACGGATATTAATCACATCTATTTTCATTATGGAAAGTGTCTTTTTCAGTGGCACTGCACGGATCATAACAGTACTTTGTAAACAGATTTGCATTGAAAGTGTTCTTTAATGGTTGACAGTTAAGCAAATACAAAACAAACACACTAAAGTATTGGAAAATTCTAAATCAAGCCAGTGGGAAGGAATCAAACATGAAGGCCGGCTATTCGCGCGATCAAGTCAGATACTGGTGCACTGGTCACAAATGATAGAGAGAGCAAATATATTGAATAAGCATTTTGTAACTACGGGAGAAAAGTTAGCAAGATTCTTAAACAACAGACACGTGCCAACAGCAAAGCTCATCGATCGAATATCCCCAACCGTTATGGAAATTGAAATGCAGGAAGATCGAGAGTGTAAAGGAGAACTTGTAAAGGCTCAATATACATAAAGCGACTGGCCCAGAAGACTTGCCGCCGATTTTGTTGAGAGTAGCTGCCGAAGAAATCGCACAGTCATTGACAGATATTTTCCAAACAAGTGCAAAGACTGCTACTCTACCCAGTTTGTGGAAGGTGACCGGAATAGCAGCTGCACATAAAAAAGATGATGAGACGGACAGGGATAATTTTAGACCATTATCCATGCTGCATGTGCACTCCAAGCAAATTAATGGAGAACGAAGTACACAAAACCTTAGTAAATATAGCCATTAACCCAGGTTTACTAAACCCAAAACAGTGGGCATACAGGAAAAACAATTCAACGGAAGCAGTGCTGTTACATAGGACAGAGATATGGAGGAAAGCAGTCGACAGCAAGAGAGGGGTGGGAGTCGTCTTCGTAAACTTTAAGAAAGCGTTTGACTCTGTACCTCATCACCAACTACTGTTAAAGTTACAGTGTGCAGGCATCTCTGGAAATTTGTCGTTGTGGATCCAGAACTATGTCTCAGTAACCGACACCAAAATTGAAAATTTACAAACCGGTCACTGAAAATTTAACAACAGTTTGGGGGTGGGTCATAGTAAAATGTACTTGATTTCTATAGGTTTCAAAAGGTGGAGAACATTATTCAATATTTATATCTTTCTTTTTACAAAACATGCCTGGAAAAATGTCAGTGAAGAAATACAATATGTATTATTTAAAACACAAGGTTCCAGAAAATATATATTTGGATTTAAACTGAGTTAAACTTAAATTGTGTGTTATTTTAAATGTAAAAAGGCGCATTATCAGCAATACAGATATCTTCGTCTTCATCATCTCCATTCCCATCTGTATCATCTCCTTCGACATCTCCATTGTTGATAACCTATGCAAAAATTGAATTGTTTAGCTAAGCTTGTGATGCACAACAGCCTGTTGAATTTCCATAGCGTTTTTTTAGACACCCTGTACAACAGGTACAATATGTGCTTTTTGTGCCGAATTTCCTTCCGTGGAAGTACTGGGGCCAGTTCCAAGACCAATGCCCGATGATGAAGCTTTGCCAGAGCTATGTTATTTACCATATGACCAAACACCAACAGCGACAGCAGATGGCGTCCGTAGGGAAGTAGATGACTTCCAGCCAAGAGCTCAAATAAAGAACAATCTGAACAAGAAAAAGTAACTTTAGATGACGAGGACTCAATAACTGCATTTTCCAAATCGTATGCAGTTCAGGAGGATCTTGTAAGAAAATAGCTTGAGCATCTTCATTACGTGAATTTCAAAAAAAAACACGTGCGGACGAGAGAAGAAAACAGAAGGAAGCACAAGCAAACAGCACTTACGAGGACTACAACTGGGTAGAAATGTTCCATGCCAGAACACTTAACAAATGTACTGTTGCTGTTTTAGATTTGTTCTTAGAAAAGCACAGTTTAATGCGAAAGCGAAAGAACAAAAAACAGAAAGTACAAATCATCACAGCCTGGCTGGCCAACAGTGAAGTGATCGAATCTCGATCAAAATGACGACAGAGGTAAATGAAATGAAAAGGATAATGGTGTTGTCTACAACGATGAAGAACTGGACTCTAGTGACTCTGATATTGAAGATGATACAAGTGATTTAGACGACAATCAACATGTAGTTCGGCGTGAAGTTGGACATTCCACCACTGACGACGATAGCGAAAGTGAAACCAATGAAAACCAAGTCATCCCTGTAAATACAAGACTTGGAAGACTGGCAACAGCATATCAAACTCGTCATTTTTTTGGAGACTCTGATTGATATAATTATCTATTTAATAGGAACAGGAAACAAGTCATCCCTGTAAATACAAGACTTGGAAGACTGGCAACAGCATATCAAACTCGTCATTTTTTTGGAGACTCTGATTGATATAATTATCTATTTAATAGGAACAGGAAACAAGTCATCCCTGTAAATACAAGACTTGGAAGACTGGCAACAGCATATCAAACTCGTCATTTTTTTGGAGACTCTGATTGATATAATTATCTATTTAATAGGAACAGGAAACAAGTCATCCCTGTAAATACAAGACTTGGAAGACTGGCAACAGCATATCAAACTCGTCATTTTTTTGGAGACTCTGATTGATATAATTATCTATTTAATAGGAACAGGAAACAAGTCATCCCTGTAAATACAAGACTTGGAAGACTGGCAACAGCATATCAAACTCGTCATTTTTTTGGAGACTCTGATTGATATAATTATCTATTTAATAGGAACAGGAAACAAGTCATCCCTGTAAATACAAGACTTGGAAGACTGGCAACAGCATATCAAACTCGTCATTTTTTTGGAGACTCTGATTGATATAATTATCTATTTAA